AAAAAGAAAAAGAAAAAAAAAGTAGATTTAAAAAAAAAGATTCAGAACACTTAAACATATTAGCATCTCATGCCTGAAATCCCAGCACTTTTAGGATAAGGTGGGCGGATCACTTGAGCCCAGGAATTGGAGACCAGTCTGGGCAACACAGCAAGGCCTAGACTCTACTAAAAATTTAAAAATTAGCCAGTGTGGTGGCATGCGCCTATAGTTCCACCTACTCTAGAGGCTGAGGCAGGAGGAATGCCTGAGCCCGGGAGTTTGGGGCTGCAGTGAGTTATGATCACACCTGTGTACAACCATTGCACTACAGCCTGGGCAACACAGTGAGACCCCATGTCTAAAAAATAAAATGTACATAGAAATGCAAGTAACCTATAAAAACAGGCAATAAAGCTGGAAAAGTTAACTACTAGATAGCAAAATTTTCTTTTTTTTTTTTTTTAAATTGATTCTCTGTCCCCAGGCTGGAGTGTAACAGCACAATCTCGGCTCACTGCCTTAGCCTCGAACGTAGCTGGGACTACAGGCGCCCACCACCAACACGCCTGGGAACTTGTTTTTCTTTTTTGGGACAGGGTGTCGCTCTGTCGCCCAGGCTGCAGTGCAGTGGCGCAATCGTAGCTCACTGCCATCTCTGCCTCTCAGGCTCGAGTCCCCTGTCTCAGTCTCTCAAGTAGCTGGGACTGCAGGCACGCAGCACCACACCCAGCTTATTTTTTGTATTTAGTAAAGATGGGGTTTCACCATGTTGGCCAGGATGGTCTTGATCTCCTGACCTCGTGATCCGCCTGCCTCGGCCTCCCAAAGTGCTGGGATTACAGATGTAAGCCACCATGCCCAGTCTAGATATTAGAACTTTCCATAAAGCTAAATCAAATCGAGAGTGAGGTACTGGCACTAAGTCTGTCCAATAAATCAGTAGAATAGAGAGGGTCAGAAGCAGATCCACACTTTACCTACGAAACACACTCCCCTGCGGTTCAGTGAGGGAGCAGGGATGACGGTCTAGCAACAAAGGATGCTGGGTTAACCGGATGTATGAACTGCCATCCATACCCTCATCCTAACATGCAACTGACTCAAAATTGATGATATCACTAACGTTAAAGCTATTTATCAACCAAGCTTCTAGAAGACATAGGTGAATACCTTCATAACTCAGAAGAAAGATTCCTTAAAGACAACACACAAAAAAGCTACAGAATGAAAGATAAAATTGAGCTTTGTGTAAGTTAAAATTTATGCCAGGCGCAGTGGCTCATACCTGTAATCCCAGCACTTTGGGAAGCCGAGGCAGGCAGATCACGAGATCAGGAGTTGGAGACCAGCCTGACCAACATGGTGAAACCCTGTCTCTACTAAAAATACAAAAGTTAGCCAGGTGTGGTGGTGCCTGTAATCCTAGCTACTCGGGAGGCTGAGGCAGGAGAATCGATTGAACCCAGGAGGTGGAGGTTGCAGTGAGCTGAGATGGCACCACTGCACTTCAGCCTGGGCGACAGAGCAAGACTCCGTCTCAAAAAAAAAAAGGTTAGGCCGGGCGCGGTGGCTCAAGCCTGTAATCCCAGCACTTTGGGAGGCCGAGGCGGGTGGATCACGAGGTCAAGAGATCGAGACCATCCTGGTCAAC